TCTTTCGAAAACTGAACTCTTATCCGATCAGCTTTGCGTACACCCTCTTCGGGAGCAGTTACTTGCGATGAAAAAATCCTGTTTGTACAAGAGTTTAAACTATGCTATAGCATTATCCTGCATAGTATACGATACGAATGTGGATGTACTACGTAAACTGCGTTCCTACTTACCTCGGAGCAATGTATCATGGTTGAGGTTCAGTCGAATCATGAAACCTCTTCCTCAGCATTTTCCACTCCTATATGTACTGCATCTCATGGAGTCGACCAGGATGGTGTCATCATCTCAACTGTCCACGTTGCGTACGAATTTGCTGATTTTATCTCCATCTGATACATCTCTTATGACATCATTGATTGATGCCTATTGTTGGGAAACCTATTCACTTGATCACGTGATTCAGAACTTGCACACGTTTGACTTTGATCTTATTTCCATACTGTATCAGTTCACTAAAGTGGCTGTATCATGTAAGGAATCTTTAAGATGAGATAATTATTTGGTGGGCATGCCGCTGACTGGACAAAATGTTTTTGGCGAGTTTGATGCTGGTTGGTCAAATGTTTTTGGCGGGCTCAATGCTGATTGGGCAAATGTTTGTGTCGGGCTTGATGGTGATTGGTTGATCTAGCTGACACATATTTTTAACATTTCAATCCGCCCCCGTCTCTGACTTGTATAAATACAGATGGTTGTCCTGTAGTTGAGTCATTCGTTCATCGAATACAGTGCTGATGAGTTGTTCTGCCTTCGCTTCCTGGAAGATGGATTCCCTATACGAGCGATGGGTGAGGAAGAATTCCGCTCTTCCTGCTGACCCTCCTCAAGTTGTGCTCTCTTCGAACGCAGTACCGGCTAAGCGTCGCTATGTGCCACCTGCTCCTACCAAGCTCCACAAAGAGATTGTGGTGGATGGGTTTCAGGAGGACATACAACTGTCCTACAAGTCATCAGGTAGATCCTTCTACAAGCCTGGTTATAAGATGTACTTCCCTTCAGGAGCTCTACCAGCCTGTGGTAGTACGGCAACAGCTCGCAAAGATGCTCAAGGACAGGTTTACATCGAACTGAATGAGTCCACTGAGTTCATCATTACGAACTTGATCAAGACTTGTCCATCGCTCCGTGACACTCTCCGAAGAGGACGTGTGGAGAAGATCAAGACCAACTTCTACCCATCACGTTCGTCCGACGGTCAATGTCGGGTGTACATCAACGGTGAAAGCAAGCTAGTCCCGACCAGCTCGTTCGAACTGGATGTGGAACAAGATGTTTTCATCTACCCCGGGGCAGTCTCCCTCGACATTGACGAGCAGGCGTTGAAGGTACGTCTTACTGTTGCTCCAATCGTCTGCATCCACGTGGAGCCCAGATGTTTTCATCGTGCTCTGGACGCGCACATGACACTTTCTACCACGGAACTGAAACAGCTAACTGAGAGCTTCATATCATTATGCAGTGTCGCCGTTCAACAAGACGATCAGCTGGTAGAGAGCTTCCAATAAGTCTTTAATGAACTGCATTCTTTATCAGACAGCTGATCATTCATTCTTATCCTATCCTATTTGACTGTATACTACTTCCTACTGCAATATATTATCATTATATTCAAAACTTCTAGAAAACAAGTATGGGTGGTGTTGTGTCGAGTAATACATCCACGGAAGAGTGCTGCCTTGCCTCTTCTGATTCTAGCATCCCCACTGATACTAGTAGGGTATGGGTTGCAGGATGTGAAAAGAATGGAATTGGAAAAGATGAGCCAGGTTGATTTCATGTGCGCACCATCAAGGAATGCGTCAATCATGACAAGGTTCCATCATGAATGTGAAGACTTCGAGACTCGTCATGCCTTTGGCATGGACCATTTATTCGTTCCAGATTCACCGTTGTTTCACGAGTGGACATCTGCTAAAAAAGTTGCAATGAAAAAAAAAATAAAAAAAAATAAAATAAATGAAAACTCCAAGCGCGTTTTGTACGGTCATACCTCAAAAAGAAGAAGATTAAGTTCCAATACGAAGCTACCAAGTCCGATTTGAACAAGGTGGCGGGGCTCGAGTCTCTCAAGTGCCGGTGGCAATTCATGTTATTATTATTTTATTAATTTTATTTTACTAGGGTGTTTCCCACAGACCATGTGTTTGGTTACGCTGCACAAGCAGCGCATTACTTTATCCCTTCCACTAATTGTTATCGGCCAATCAGCATACTCTCACCACCTCGCATCCAATCAGCATACCCACGTCACACTAACGTTACACAAACTTGTCTCATTATGCGAAAAAATGGTACTGAATCATAGCAACATCCTCCTGGATAATGAACAAAATAACGATTAATCTACATATTTCGATATTTGCAACAGGACTAAAATCGATGGAGTTACGACAGTTTTACGGTATGTACACAATATCAGTCGTTAATGACTGATGCACCGCAAAGGGTTAAAACACAACAACCGACAACAACCGACAACAACCGACAACAACCGACAATAACCAACAACAACACCCAACAACCGACAACAACCGACAACAACAACCAACAACAAACAACAACAGCCAACAACAACCAACAACAACCAACAACAACCAACAACAAACAACAACAACCGACAACAACCGACAACAACCGACAGCAACCGACAACAACTACCAACAACAACCAACAACAACCGACAACAACAACCAACAACAGCCAACAACAACCAACAACAACCAACAACAACCAACAACAACCAACAACAATCGACAACAACCGACAACAACCGACAACAACAACCAACAACAACCGACAACATCCGGCACAACCAACAACAACCAACAACAACCAACAACAACACCCAACAACCGACAACAACAACACCCAACAACCAACAACAACACCCAACAACCGACAAAAACACCCAACAACCGACAACAATCAACAACAACCAACAACAACACTCAACAACAACCAACAACAACCAACAACAACCAACAGCAACCAACAACAACCGACAACAACCGACAACAACCGACAACAACAACCAACAACAACCAACAACAACTGACAACATCCGGCAACAACCAACAACAACCAACAACAACCAACAACAGCACCCAACAACCGACAACAACAACACCCAACAGCCAACAACAACACCCAACAACCGACAACAACACCCAACAACCGACAACAATCAACAACAACCAACAACAACACTCAACAACAACCAACAACAACCAACAACAACCAACAACAACCAACAACAACCGACAACAACCGACAATAACCAACAACAACCAACAGCAAACGACAACAACCGACAACAACCGACAGCAACAGCCAACAACAACATCAACAACGACGACGATAACGACGAGAACAACCAACAACAACATCAACAACGACGACGATAGCGACGACAACCACAACAGTGTCCGGTAATGTGTGGTAGAGAATGGCAGTCAGCCAGACTGTGTACAATTGAACATGTATAATAATAATAATAACACATTTCGCGTAGTTGAGCACTAAATAAAGAAATTCAGTGGTTTTTCCCACTTCTGTCTTGTGAGCATCATCAGCAAGGTGTAGAAGCTGTTGATACTGATTTGTCCTCGAGTGTCGAGCTGCACAGTTTCTTCCAGTCTGTCTTGTCCTCTGCTTGTTGCCGGCACCTGGAAAGGGCTTCCATGGTCTTCATGGGCACACCCAGCTTATTCAACTGAGCGACCAGACTTGTGGCTAGTGTCAACCTTGGCCGCCCACGAGGTGCTTTGTTGCCCTTGCCCAAATAGCCGCTCATGGCTATTTAGGGTGGCGTGTTCGTGTCCATCAGTAGCACATGACTGGTCATTCGTAGTCGCCTACATGCAACTGTGTCATGTATTACTACAAGAACTCAACCAAGTTCTCAGCAGTCATGGAGTAGCGGCAGGTTGGGCAAGTAGGGCTTAGGGGCAGAACTGATCCACTCCTTGATACAGTGGAAGTGAAATTCATGACCGCGCTCCAACTTGGATAGAGGACGGTCCAGGGTATCCTGACAAATCACACAGATGGGCTCGTGACTTATTGCTGACGAGTCTACCTTAGTAGGCACTACATTGATGTACTGCAGCTCCATGGGGTGTATTGCCTGGTCTTGATGGTGGCTACCGTAATACACCCCGTTGAGGTACCACTGATAGATACCCTCCTCCTCCTGAGAGATGAAAGCAGGTCCATCTTCCCTATGCCGAAGGTTGTATCGGTACCACTCCCGTACACGATTGTTACCTTCCCTGCGTATCACCGCTGGCGCATTCTCCCTGTGGAGCCTTCCGTGGTGATACCACCGTAGAATACAGCATGTGGCGTCACAATAACTGACTGCAGGACCGCCGGCTCTAGACGCCGTTGAGGTAGTACTCGATGCTACCCCGTCCTATCCAAGCAGGTTCATTAACGCGATGAAGGCGACCTCCATAGCACCAGGCGCACACTCCCCTACTATCAACAAGAGCTGGTCCGTCCTCCCGATGGAGTCTACCATCGACGTGCCAAATTTCTTGCTGCGCGTTTTGATCTGCCAACTCCACAACAGTTCTTATTGGCGTCCGTCTTTCTATTAGTAAAGGACCCGTGGTGAGAGACCACGACCGGTCGTCCAAGTCTACACCGAATGTATCAGCCATATCTATTTACTGAGAATAATGTAACAACTCCTCCACAAACGCTTCTACAACTGACGTCTTCTTCATCCCCAGATAGGCGTTAGCCTTTGGGTAATCCTGAAATAAAGATTATTATTATTATCCTGGTTTTTTTTCCTCTTGGTGGTTTTGGATAAGAGTTGAAAAGTCCAAAAGGTCAACTGATGACCTTTGCATTACTTGGTATGATTGGATTTTAGCGGATGATGTCGTTATGCAGCTGGAGAGCGAATTCGACAGGAAGAAGGTAAATGCCTTGCTTTGCGGTTCACACCTTCACTTCAGTATCATTACAGTATGGCTTTCACATGTCACTGCGGTGTGGAACTTACAGGGGTTATACCCCTGTTTCAGCACCTGAGGCGGTGCGTCAAGCGCCGCCTCTTTCTTATAATATATTGTGACAAATGGTAAGTGTGCAGTACTCCTAGCTCTCTCCCCCAACAAAAGAGCTCTATGACACTGTGCTTTCTGCGGTTTCTTTCGTTTTTACAGTGGAGAAAGGCTGGTGGGAGGCCAGGCCGTGGCCGCACACCTGGCGGGTGCGGCCCATCGAGCCCGTTACTGGGAGGGCCGGCAAGTCGGGCTGCTGTTGCAGTCCGACTACCGGGACGCCATGGAGCGTATCCGGACCCTGTAAGTAAGCACTGCTCTGTCTACATGTATACTTATCCCCCTCGTTATAGCGATACTTACTTGTTTCGTATCCTCTTGTCTTACCCTGCTTCCGTATTCGTGACACTAATAGTGTTTGTGTGCGCTCATGCTTGGTTTTACAGATGATGATGATGTATGAAGGTCTGGAGCTAGCTGCCGTCTTCGGGATGTGCCATTTGTTTTCAAAATTATTTGTAAGTACTTGTAACAGCTACTAACAGGCGTAGTGTAGTAACTGTGTATGCAGTGTAGTAACAGTGTGTAGTGTTTTGTGATGGTCCTGTGCTATAGCAGTCGTAATGTGTTTTGTGATGGTCCTGTGCTATAGCGGTCGTAATGTGTTGGGCTACTGAAGTACACTGCATGAAGGGATATGTGTGGGTGCTTCGACATATTCTCGTGCTTCCTAAATCCTAGATACGTGTATAGCACTATAACCTAGATGTGTGTGCGCGCGCGTGTGTGTGTGTGTGTGTGTGTGTGTCCGCGCATGCGTGCGTGTGCGTGCATTGTGTTCTCTTCTACAGACTCATCTAAGTCCATTTAAATAAAAGTGCATTATAGTAAACAGTATTGTGTTTTGTTACAGTGAATATGTGGGGAATGGTGGATATGCCTGAGTGTGACTGGATACCCGCGGGTTGTGACTCTTTGCTGGTCACTCTGGATTCTCCAGTATAGATTCGATGCAGTGCAGAGGGGATTTGCGGTGCGTAGCAACACTGCTTCACTGTGACACCCCTTCAATAATAATTATTGTTTTAATGCATGATACTCCGGGCGTAGCCGGTTGATTCTAACTGTATCCTGATCAAAATAGAAATTTGCATCTAATGGACCTGCATGGACAGTAGGCATTTCCCTAATCGGCCGGGCGAAAAATTCGCCGAAAAACAGTGGTTTTGAAGAAATTACCCATCTTTTCGCCGAATTTTCAAAAATTCGCATGTTGAATTCCCCGAAAACCGATGCTTCAGTGCTTCAACAGGGTGTATGTAAATGTACATGACGTAATGGGAGCGGTGACTTCAAGTACTATGTTGAGCCGAATTCTGATCTTGGAGCTCAACGAGTGCATGGCACGTGAACTCACTTGTTTGCTGCACATCTACGAAGTGCGAATCAGGGAGTAGTATAATGACACATGTACTACTAGTACACCTTGTGTTGCACTGCGTCTTTTCCGCAGGGCCACTGAAAGTCACATGCTCCGCGTGCGTATGCGCGCATGCGCAATATGTCATTCGCTGCATGCAATGCACATCTATGTCGTGCGAATCAGGGAATAGTACGTATTTTACTACTCCCCGGTGCGAATGCACCGAACGTGCACAAGTGCACGTTCGCCACGGAAAAGAACCTTTATGGCACATTTATGGCATGCCAGGGGTCAAAGGTCAAACTCTGGGGGGTCCCGGGGCCAGACCAAGCACGACCGACACAGTGTGCCTTATTTGGCCCAAAGGTCAAAGGTCAAAAAGTGGGCCAGAACCCGCCCCGCACTTACTACTTCCCTCAAGTTTCAACCGGCCCTAGGACAACAAGAAGCTCTTTTAATGCTGCTATTGCAATATCTAAATTCCGGACGACTGACGGTGTCAATTCCTTTTCAAATCGTGCTGCCCTGTTCTTTAATTCTTTGCCTGTGGAGTGGCGCACCCAGCACCGCACTACATTTGCTAAGCACCTTCAGACCATGCTAAAAGACGCAGCGTCTTTTCAGAAGTATTTTGATCTTCTTTTCAGCAAACTCCCTCATTGATCTGCACCGCCTGTATTGTATAACTGTGTTTACTGCGTTCCTAGTTTAAATTCGTTTTTAAAAACATCTCTTTAATTCTTGCATTATCCCATTATGACCATGCTTAAAGACGCAGCGTCTTTTCAGAAGTATTTTGATCTTCTTTTCAGCAAACGGCCTCATTGATCTGCATCGCTTGTATTGTATACCTGTGTTTACTGCTTACTGCTTACTGCTGCTTTATTGTTCCAAGTATCAGTTTAGTTTAGTTTAAATATCTCTTATTATTATTATTTTTTCTCACCCCACACCCCTCTACTCTGTTATCGGCCCTCTTAAGAGTTGTGTTCATCACTGTTGAGGCTTCCGATGGAAAATAAAAGAATACTACTACACTACTACTACAACCATTTCACCGTACCGTACGCATGCTAGCTACCTTTATAGTATGCGTATCCATTTTCGTTGTCTCCTCCGCCAGGTTTTCTCTTGGACATGGCAGTTTATTTTAGTTGAGTTGTGGAATAAAACCCAACATGGCGCAGTGAACCTGCTTCGTTCTTGTCGTTCCAGTTTGATTCGTAGTAGTGCTTGCAACATCCTGTCATGTCGGACAGTTCATCCGATAGCCCTGTTCCCGCAGCACAACTGGACGCCAGCCAGCTGCTGACGATAATCCAGGCACAAATTCAAGCATCTGCACAACGTGACGCACAGCTGCAAACATTGTTGCAGACCATGTCGAACAGTCGAACAGCAGCCCCAGCCACTACAAGTACAACCAAACCCGTTTCTGTTGACCGCCCGATCCTGTTGGCGTCTGCCACGCTTGCTGATTACGCCTCGTGGTGTGAAGCTTGGTCGGATTATGCCCGATGTCAACTGCTTGCCTCCCAGCCAAGGGAGACCCGTATGGCAGCTTTTCGTCAGGCGCTGGACGAAGATCTCCGAAGATTCGTCCGGGAAGGCATCATTCCCATTCCTGATTCCCACGATGTTCTGGATGCCATGTACGAACTGAAAAAGTTCATTCGTAGGCAACGTAATCCGCTGCTGGATCGAATCGATTTTTACCGACGCTCCCAGCAGCCAGGCGAATCGTTTGATGCTTGGTACGCATCTCTGAGTGAACTGTTCCACGCATGTAACTTCTCTGAGTTGTCGATGTGCTCCACCTGCCCAGCTCGAGTGTGCAGTACCTGTAGTAGTGCCATACAATCTCTGTCTGACGACATATTACGCGACCGCGTTGTCACTGGGATAGTAGAGAGGTTTCGACCCGCGTGATTTGTGCTCTTACGTGAACGTCAATTTTTTGCGTCGACGCGAGCTCAGAAAGAGCTTTCGTTTCACGTTGCTTGTGAAGCACGTCGTGTCGCTGACGACAGGAGCGAAAACTGGGAGCGAAAACTTCAAAATGTGAAAAAAGTGATTTTTGGTGAGGCCGAAGTCGCACAAATATTATTTATAGCTAGTTTAGGCAAAATCGACAAATCGAGTCAATAATCCCAACCTGATAGCAAGGCTAAATTTGCAAAAACTCGCGTTCACGTCGAACGTGAGTTGACCTCAGCTCACGTCCTGAACGGGAGTTTCGACGCCAAAATTTGCCACACCGACGTGAAATTTCACGGTGTAGTGCAGAACAACGTGAAGCGAAACCTCTCTATTGTCTAACGACGTACGTCACAAACTGTTGCCTTGGCGACCAAGGACCTCACTCTGACCTCCTGTGTCGACCTCTGTCGGTCTGAGGAAGCCGCCAGCCACACCACATCGGGCATCCCTGGACAGGTTCCCCGGGGCAGTGCCGTGAATGCTATGAAATTGTCTTATCAGAAGAAGAAGAAGTCATCCAGCCAGGCTCCCAAGAAGCCCGATGCCGCAGCTAAAGCACCATCCAGCAGCAAGCCTCCTGGACCAGTGAACAAGTGCCACAACTGTGGACGCACTGCCCACACCAAGAGTGAATGCCCTGCTGCCGGACGGAAGTGCAACTGTTGCCAACGCATGGGACATTTATTGGCAATGTGCCCAGCTGCAAAGAAGACTGTCGGCCAACTGAAACTCCAACGGGCCATATCTTCGCGGGATTCTAGCACGATTGTGGTTGACACCCAGCTTGTGTCAGCATCCGAGCCGACAAGTTTGAGGTGGTTACCTGATACTGGAAGTGATGTAGACGCCATCGGCCTGGCACATTTGTCTACGCTTGGCGAATTTCCCGAGAATCTGCCAGCCGACCGGGATGTTGTCTGTACAGCTAATGGCTCAGCACTCACCAGTCTTGGCAAGTTAAACGCCACCCTCACACTAGGTTCTGCCACTCACTCCACTGTCGTACATGTCTATGATAGCTTGGATGAGGCATTGCTCTCACGAAACAGCCTGTCCGCCCTTAACCTGTTGCCTGCGGCATGGCCCTCGGTTTCGGTGCAGTCCCTCAGCGCAGACACTAGTGCGGTTGAACAGCTTCAACAACAACTCCTCGATGAGTTTGCCGACGTGTTTGACAGTTCATGTCTCAACCCTATGGATGGTCCTCCGATGGATATCAAGCTGAAACCTGATGCAGAGCCAAGTTGTGTTCGGAACGCACGATCCATCCCTTTTGCCTATCGGGACCAGATTAAGTCTCAGCTGGATGGCATGGTCGATGACAACATCATTGAGCCGGTTACTGAACCATCTGAGTGGTGTCACCCAATTGTTCTCGTGGAGAAGAAGGGCACCACCGAGATGCGTCTCACCGTTGACCTCCGCAAACTGAATGACCAAGTTTGCAGACCGACTCATCCTGCCCGCACACCTCATGACGCTGTCGCCGCCATTGGTCCGGCACGGTACTTCACGAAGCTTGATGCTAGACACGGCTACTGGCAGGTGCCACTGTCTGAGGATGCCCAGCCTCTGACCACATTTATTACGCCATGGGGACGGTACCGGTTCCTCCGAAACCCCCAAGGTCTCGTCTCTGCTGGGGATGTATTCAATTCCCGTACCGACTTCGCTTTCGACCGGCTTGTCAATTTCTCGAAAGTCGTCGATGATGGCCTGGTGTATGACACAGACCTGACAGCCCATTACACTCACGTCCGGGACGCTCTGCTCCGAGCCCGTCAACATGGCATCACCCTGAGTGTAAAGAAGTTTGTGTTCGGCGCACCGGAGGTTGACTACTGCGGCTACCGTATCAATGCTGACGGTTACACAGTTGACGGTGGCAAGACTGATGCCATCACTGATTTTCCCGTGCCAGTGAATCGCACTGATGTCCGCTCGTTCTTTGGTCTCATCAACCAATGCAGTGATTTCTCGCCCGAGATAGCCAAGCTCAGTGACCCGTTGCGTCCGCTGTTGAAATCCAGCACCGAGTTTCTCTGGGAGTCAACACATACCGATGCATTCAATGCCGTCAAGTCTGCGTTAGCCTCACCACCAGTGTTGTCTTTTTTTCAACCTGGTCGACCTCTCCGCCTGGAGACCGATGCATCCATTAAGAATGGCCTTGGCTATGTTCTGTGGCAGCAACAAGCTGATGCAACTTGGCGCATACTCCAGTGTGGCAGCCGCTTCCTGTCTGATGCAGAATCCAGATATGCTGTTATTGAGTCAGAGTGTTTAGCCGTCACCTGGGCAGTTCGCAAATGCTCATTATATCTCTCTGGCTCAGCGTTTGAAGTCGTAACTGATCACCGTCCGCTCGTTCCAATTCTGAACACCTAC